CAAAAAAAGTGCATCGTCATGCAGCACTGTAGTTTGACTTTTGTTAAGATCTTCACTTCGTAAAATCTAGTCGGATAACAGAAATGTTCGAAGACATGCGAACTTTCGAAATTTCAATAGTGAGTTATGGCATAAAAAATACACATAAAATTCCTATTGTCCTCTCCTAGATGGAATATTCTTATTGACATTTCAATTCTTTTGGCTTTGGTAGCAGAATAAACCTACTTTCTATTAATGAGCTCCAAAAATTCACTGGGTTTACAACTGTCTGATTTCACAAGAAATAAATAGATAAAGTTCCGCTTACACTTCGACATGCCGCGATTCTGCGCTCCATACATTTCGCTCGCAACCTTTATCTTGTGAATCCACCTGAATGTTGAAATAGAGGCACTATTCAATATTCTGACTTACTCCATTCGTAACAGATTTTGAAGGATTTACTTTTCTAGATTTCTTAGTAGCTATAATTAGAAAAGATAAGTGAGAGGAGCTCGCGCATTTTCTAGACTACATCCCATAAAGTTGACTCATTCGACTGCAAATTCATGAAAATCAATCTCCAGTGATGACTGAAGGGTTTTGTTCATGGCACAAAGTCGCGCTTTGAAGCAAAAATCACATTCAAAAAAGTCCCACAATGTTTACATTCCATCTACCCAGAGAAGGCTAGAAACCCTTCACTCACGTTCTCATATCAGTTTGACTGTAGCACGAGAAATGGTGCTCGATTGGTGGCCTTGACAAGCGGAAGACACTAAAAACCGATAGAGTTTAAGACATGACATAGCTCAGTTAATGACCATCAAACCCACAATTTCTTAGAAGTTTTCAGATCTGTCTCGTCTGAGACCACACATTTCGCAACGTTGATTATCATATCAGCTCGACGGGTCTACAAAATTTACGTTATTTTTTCTAATAAAATCACGGACATACAAATTGATTAGGATAAATGTTGAGAAATGGTCCTCGCAGGCACATCCAGCACTTTGGCCATTTATTGGTAACTTCCTTGGCGAACAATTCCTTCGCAGTTTTTCTGTAACAGGATCATTTGCAAAGGTAACAACAGCGAGCGATTTCCAGCACCTTCGCCTAACCCATCCTTCAAATGCTTTCTCTGCTGTTTTCGTGTCAGGAGTACCCGGAGTTGTTGGGGATTCATCGGTATGCCATTCGCCTGAGGCGGCAAGCCGAAATGGATTCGGACTAGAGATGGACATGGAACTACATGAGGCTGGACTCGGCAGAACAAAGTCTTCTCCCACTGAGGAGCTGGGGTATCTAAAGAAACGAATTCAACCTATGATTTCTGTTGGTGCATGGAAGTGTTTACCTCGGTGAATCAAGTACAAGCCCAGATAAATTCGAGTCACCAGCTGGAGCTCGGAATCTCGGAATAGAATTTTCTTCGAATGGGGCGCTCCAATCGGGGTCGGAGCAGCTGGGTTCGGCTACATTCAGATGACTAAGCTCGGTTGGCTCAACGATGGAGACTTCGGCAAACTCCGTGGGACCTCAAAGTCCACAATAATTACTCAAACAACTTCCAAAACAGGAAACTCACATTTCACATTGAACGGCAACTGTTCCGCGATTATGTCTTCCTCGATTTCATGCACAAGTTTGTTGTCTATGAAGGATCTGACGTATCCATCGGGCTGATGACGCATTGTGCGCGCACGGCGTACAATTCGTGGAATGGCGATAGATCCTTCATTATCAGCTGCTGGGCTTAAATTATACGAATGGATTGGTCAGATACAAGTGAAAAATCATGACGCAAACCTGATCAGATCAAAGAGATCCCAATTCGCATGCGAGCGATCGTCTTCTTCAAAAGAAAGCTCTCTACGCGGACTACCGCCACTTACAGAGGAGCGTCTTGTACTGCGTAGTCTACCACTGTAATGCCGGTTCAGACATGCTTCAGGGTAAGAAAAAAACTAGGTACCCGTTATTTTCCAGGTGATTCAGCAGTTGTGTGATAAAAGTCGATGAGCGACGTCGATTGAGCGGATAATTGATATCCTGTAACAACTATAATATTATGATTAAGTCAGCACCTGAAGTGAATCTCATAAGCTTGGGTCACTCTTCATTTACAAGCAGATA